ATTTTTGAACCCGAGTATTTTAGAGTTGAAAATTGATACTTCAACCACTAAACTACTATAATTTTTTTATAATAATTTACAAATAAATTATATTTATATACATATAAATATATATTCGTGTAAATATATAAATATAGAATATATAAATACAAATATATTTATATATTTTGATATATTTATATATATTTATATAGTTATATAGTTATATATTTATATGTTGGATGTGAAGGCGCGTTCGAGGTGAAAGTGAGATTGACTCTCACTTGAGTGAAAATACGTTAAAACTCACGGAAATTCACTCGTTCAAGCCTCGCTTGAGCGAAAATTGGTATTTTTCGCTTGAGCGAATGATGCGTTTCTCATATTTATTTTATATTATTAATAAATTATAAATATTATATTCTGTCATTAAATTACAAACCCATATAAAGAGACTCACTCACAAATTTGACATCAAATTTTGAAAACTCACTCGACACACTTTCACCTTCGAGCGTGTCCTCACATCCAACATATAAATATATAATTATATAAATATATCAAAATTTATAAATATATTTGTATTTATATATTTATATATTTATACGGATATATATTTATTTGTATATAAATATAATTTATTTGTAAATTATTATCAAAAAATTTGAGTAGTTTAGTAGGTGAGTATCCTCCAACCACTGCAACTGCACGAAGCCCTTCTTTCTTTTTATGAACCAACTTAACAACCAAATGGAAGTCTCTGCGGCAGAGGCGTTGTTCATGAAATAGGATCAGAACGCGGAAGCCGCCGTGGTGCTATATATCGTCGCCGCGATCAAAAGAGCTTCTGAAACGCAATGGATTAAAGGTAAGCCAGCGTTGTTGATGCTCATCGGAAGCGTTATTCGGTGGTTCATGGAGGCGATGAGCAGAGAGATTATGCCATGCGGAAGGCTGCGACGGAGACTCTCGTGGCTGTTACCAGGGATTTAACCAACTGTTCTCTTCCAATGAAGTTTCGTCACCACACTACTACACTACTACTGATATCTTCCAGGTCGGTTATGAAAGCTCTTAAACTTTGGTTCTACAACTGATATTAATATAAGTACACGTTGAAAATTTATACTTTTAATCATTAAATTATTAGAATTTTGGTGATAATAAATTATAAATAAATTATATTTATATAAAAAATATATATCTATATAAATATAAATATATTTATATAAATATAAATATATTTATATATTTTAATATATTTATATAGTTATATATTTATATATTGTTAGATGTGAGGACATGTTTAAAAGTGAAAGTACGTCGAATAAGTTTTTAAAATTTTACGTAAAATTTGTGAGAAAATCTTTTTATATAAGTTTGTAATTTAATGACAGAATCTAATTTTTATAATTTATTTATATAATGATATAAAATAAATTTGGGAAATATACATCATTCGCTCAGCGAAAAATACAAATTTTTGCTTGAATAAGTGAATTTTCAGTGAGCTTTAAAGTATTTTTGTTCAAACAATAGTCAATCTCACTTTTACTCTCGAGTATGCCCTCATATCTAATATATAAATATATATTTATATATAAATATATCAAAATATATAAATATATTTATATTATATATATATATATCAAAATATATAAATATATTTATATTTATATATTTACAAATATATATATTTATTTGTAAGTTGTTATAAAAAAATTTCAATAATTTAGTGGTTGAAGTATCAATCTTTTAACTTTAAGATATTAGTTTCATTTGGAACAATTTCATACCGTAAATAATCTTTTATTTTAATTTTTAAGGGAAATTATACAAGCTATCTTCCAAATATAAATTTTAAATAATTCTATATAGTAATATAATATTAATAAAATTTTAGTTTATATATTGATTAATATTATATTATTAAGTAAGTTATGTTTATTATTATTAAATAGGAGTTGTAGATGAATGATTAAGAGTTTTGAAAAGGTGGGATTTTTTAAAATTTACAGTGAAGCCCCACAAGAAATTGATTTCACATTATACCTATCTAAGCCAGATGTTACAATTATTTTTAGTAATGAAAATACTAATTATGTTAAATAAATTATATTTTAAATACATAAAAATTAGAGTTTAAGAAAATTTAGAATTAACAAACTAGTTTTTAACAATCTATCCGTCTTACAATTTATTTAAAGTTTTGTTTTGTAATAATTTAACAATATAGAGATGAAAGTATATACGTTAAATTTTAAGTTTTAACTCAATATTCATGATAACTTATTAAATATTATATTAATAAATAATAATTCTAAATAAAATAGGATAAATTTATATATTTGAATAAAATTAATTTTAAGTTATAATAAATATAAAATTTAAATGCTTTATAATAAAATTAATATAATGAAATACTTATTTCTGATTAATAAAGGCGTAAGAAGTAGGTCTTATCAAAATGAGATTTAACATTAACAATTTAATATATTTATATCCGATTTTATTAATATAAATCTGAATGGTTAACAAATAATATTTGAATGATTGTTAAATCGGAGTCAAACTTTAGTTATTTAAGAGATTTACCTTCTATATTTATAAAAAAAGACAAAAGGTATAGAAGGAACAATTTTAGTTATTATTAAATCCAAGACCAATCTTAGCTACTCAAGAGATTTTCGTAAGTTTTTTATCGACAAAACTCCAAATTTGTTTGAAGTATGGGTTTGGTGGTTATCAAATTGGAATCCAGCCTTAGTCATTCGAAAGGTTCGGTTTCAATTTTTTATCAACATAAGTCCAAAAGTGTTAAAGACATGGTTCTAGTAATTGTCAAAACAGAGTCCAACATTTGTTATTTAAGAAACTTTTAATGATTTTATTATTATAAGTTAATGTCCTATTTCAATAAATTCAAACAAGTTTTAAGAATTATTCATCTCTTATTTGACAGAGATTCTAGTTCCCGGCCAAAATTACGATTTTAATGAATCAATTAAACTATGAAATTATGAAATAATTTTAATGTCTACGCTATAGTATAACATTGTTTTTTCATAGTTATACTCTTTTTAATAAGTTCAATACGATTTTTAAATACAATTACCAACTATTTGTGTATGGTATTAGAAAAGTTAGTTTACTCATATTAATAGATAAAAATAAAATAAATATCATATGATTATTAAGATAAGTCCATCTACGAGATCATGGAGAAAATGAATAATAAAATATATTATTATAAACATTACACCTAGGTAACCTATACAGATGTAAAAAAGAGAGTTCTGTTGTGAGTGTTTGGTTAAGTATTTTTCATGTTACTTAAGAGGTAGACGAATGTGTACTGTTATGAAAATTACACCCATTTACTAATTTCAGAGTTATTATTAATCATGAAATAAGTTATTAAGAACCGTTTGATGATAATACAAAAAGGAAGTGAGAAAAAAAGGAGAAAATATAAATATATTTGATTGCTTGTAATAGAACTTACATTAAAAAAAGTTGTTAGAAAAATAATAATTAAATATATATTAATATCTCTTTTTTAACAAGATATTTTATATATAATTACAAAATATTTTTATTTTAAAATATATTATTTTGTAGATAATGTTAAATTATTCATTTTATTTTTTAATATTAATATATCAAAATAATATATATATATATATATATATATATATATATATATATATATATATATATATATAAGAAATAAAATATGTACGCAATATTTGTTTTCTTTGTCTCCTTACATTAATCACATGCAAGATCATTATTAATTGGGGAAAAGGTAAATCGCCTTAGTTTTTTTTTTTCTTCTAGATTTGTTGTTAGCACCATTAAAGTTGAGAGAACTTTTCTTAAAAAAAGTCAGAACTACTTACACATTTCTCAATAAAATTGTATGATTTGTTATAAATTTTTATTTTATTGAAATAAAAATAAAAAAATATATATATTTAGTTAATGATGGACTTTGAATCTTTCTAACTCATTTTAAAACGTAAAGTAGTAAATTATTTTTTAAAAGATAAAAGATGAATAGAATTTAATAAAGGCTTAAAATTAAAATGATTATTTGTCGTAAAAATTATGACGAAGAAAAATGTAAGAACACCAGAAAGATTACTCTAAGGAAAGAATCTGAAAAGAAGACGTAAGGTAAGTTATCTGACACCATCTTATACAGTGGAATACGCTATAGAAGACTTGTGATCGCTGGCACATTAACTGGTGAGGTAATACTATTAAAACCACACAACTAACTTAGTGTAAAACATAAAACAGATAGAATAGAGAAGTTAAAAGAAAGAAGAAAATAAAGAATGCAATAAAGTTTGGCCACGAAGTATCACGTGGTAGTGTGACACCACTCTTTCCTTCCGCACTCGTTTCATTAAATAGCTTAACCTTAATCTGTGATAAAATATAGTTACTTATCATTGTATATATATTTTTTTATTTCTCTCTAACGTGTATTTTCATGTTTTTTAAGAACGTGCATCAGTGTTGATAGGAGCCAAATCCTCTTCAGAGACAACTATATAATTTTATCATATTTTAACACTTTTATAAATTTGTTAATTATAAATAATTGGATTATATTTGAGATATTACTGTTGATGGGGGTGCGAGACAACAGACAACCCACCTTCCAGTCCTTCACTTTTCCCCCTGTCTTTGCTTCTTTTCACAAAACAGGAAACAAGACCGTCCTAATAATTACTCTCATTGAAAGAAAAGAAAAATATAAATAAAATAAAATAATAATAATAATATCAATATCAGTGTAGTTTTAGTTTCACCCATCATGTTCCCTCCTTCACTCACTTCCATAACTCTCTTCTCTCTCTTGCATCTGTCAAAGTAAAAAATCTGTCCCTCACGGACAGTGGTTTTAGCCTCAACTCTCTCTCTCTCACTCTCAACCAAGTTGTTTGATAAATAATACTACTGCAATGCAATCTCTCTCTGGATTTGTCCTATTCTCTCTCTGAACCGCAATGGCGAAAGAGCTTCTTCTGCAACTTCGTCTACTGCTTCTTCTTCCCGAACAACGGTGTCGTTTTGCACCTCCCCTGCCGTTGCTCAACTTCGCATTCTGACTCCTCTCTCTTCTGCATTTTCGATCCCTCCGATCCGTTTACCTTCACCTTGCTTCTCACAACCACCGACTCGCTCAACTCAGGTGCATTTTGCCTTTTCCTCTCGTTTCTCCTCCTGATTCAACTTTTCTCCCTGCTCTCTCTTCCCTCCCCTACTTATTTTACGTTACTGCTTCCTCTTTAGATTTCTCTCCGTTTTCTTCCTTTCAACTATTCACATTCACTTGGATGTTGTTTTTCCTTCTGCATTCCACTTCTTTCGCTTTGATTTGTGCTCTATAACGCTTTTTCGCCATTATTTATCTGTTATTGCTTAATTACTTTCAAAAACTGTTGGTGAACAAGCAAATTATTAATTATGCTTGCTCATCTCAGTAGTTGTTACTGCTTCCAGTACGAAGCATGGATTGCGCCTTCTGGTGGTTGAACGCTTGTAAATAGAAACACACTGACTCTTTAGTGAATATTTTTGTGGTGAAACCTATTTGTCAAGTAATAACCTCCCTGATTATTCAACTTTGGTACTTAACTTAGTGTGATCTAGGATTATTTCTCTTTAACCGCGTGATCTTATTGTTGTGTATTCTGTAACTAAGGAGCATTGCTGGACCCGTTTGACTACTTTATTTCCTTTTTTTTGTTTTCTTTTCATTATCGATTACTATTTGTTGGTTTCTTTTTGCGGAATAATCACCGTTGTATTTTTCTGTACTTTTCCTATTCTACCTTGGGAAGGGATAAAGGGGAAAGGTTAACTTGTAAGCATATGCGATGCAATTCTTGAGTAACTTCGCTGCTAGTTTAGTTTCCTTTCTTTGTCACTCAGTGCAGTACAATAATTGTCTTTGTAACTTTCAAATATGGATTAATTATTTACCTGCGTCCATTATTTTTGTCAACTGACCTTTCTGCAAGGATTCAATGTGTTTGACTTGGAATGTGTCCAGGGGTGGGAATTCTCTTAATTGATGACATGGAGCAATATGAAATACTTGAACAAATTGGAAAAGGTGCTTTTGGTTCTGCGCTTCTTGTGAGACACAAGCATGAAAAGAAAAAGTAAGAATTGAACCTACCTGACCTCTATTTTTTTTTTTTTTCTGCTCTGTTTCTTTTCACTTGTATACTTTAATGTTTAAACAACAATATTTGGAATTCCATAAATCATTATTGACAATGCTTTTGCACTTATGTCTTCTGATTATATATATAGATATGTGTTGAAGAAGATTCGGCTTGCTCGTCAAACCGAGCGGTCTCGCAGATCTGCACACCTGGAGGTTGGTGCTTCAAATAACAGTTTAAATACAGCACAAAATAATTATCTTGTGACTTTTTCTAAAATATTCCCTTAGCAAGTTGCATTGTTTGTGTTCTAGTTGTAGAGAGGTGTCATTTGCTAATGGACCTTAAGACAAGTTTCAGGCCTCAATATGAATATTAGGCAGTAAAAGTAGCAACAACTCTCAAATGTCGATGTGAAATTATTTGTGGATATGTATGATTCACTAACATTTATTTCCTATGGCATGTACAGATGGAGCTCATCTCTAAATTAAGAAACCCATTCATTGTGGAGTACAAAGATTCATGGGTAGAAAAGGTATTTTGTTTCTTAATTTTTACCTCTCTTACTGTTAATTAGAAGAATGACTTCTACTAGCTGCCTGCCTAACAAGCTTATCTTTAGGATTGCTAAGAAACCTTGGTGTATGCATTATAAAACTGTGCTTGTTTTAAGTTTTGATCTATTTTGCCTTCTTCCTTCTCAGGGTTGCTATGTCTGCATCATTATAGGTTATTGTGAGGGAGGAGATATGTAAGTCTCGTTTATAGTTCTGTGTTCTCTCATCTCTTGTAAATTTGAGCACATGCTTTTTCTTAATATGCCATTGGTGTAATGCAGGGCAGAAGCTATTAAGAAAGCTAATGGTGTCCTATTTCCAGAGGAGGTTTTTTTTTTTTTGTTTTTCGCCAATCAGGAATTTATACTCCTTTGATTTTGGACTAGGATAAGGGTGACAATTAAGATTTTGCATCTAAAATCTAAAAAAGATAATTTGTTTGCAGAAACTTTGTAAGTGGCTCGTACAACTTCTTATGGCTCTTGAGTACTTGCACATGAACCACATTCTTCACCGGGATGTCAAGGTTAGTGACAGATTTCTCTTTGTATATAATAATATTGTAGTAGTAAATCAGTAATATTTTTATTTCCATCAAATTTATACTGAGCTGTATACTAATGAGAAAACCACATGATTCCATTAGTGTTCAAATATCTTCTTGACAAAAGATCATGACATTCGTCTAGGTAAGTTATTCTACTGTTTTTTTAACTAAGTGTTGGATGATCGATTTTTTTTTTTTTACAAGTTATCAATTGTGATCCAGGTGATTTTGGACTTGCCAAGATGTTGACTTCTGATGATCTTGCGTCCTCTGTAAGACATGTGCAACCTTTGAATTGAATTTGCTTATTGTAAATTTTATATGACTTCTTCTAATAAACAACCAGTGGTTGTCTTGTAATGTAGGTTGTGGGAACTCCTAGCTACATGTGCCCTGAGCTCCTCGCGGATATACCTTATGGTTCTAAGTCAGATATTTGGTCCTTGGGTAAGTACCAGTATTATTATGGTTTTATTCTTTGTAATTTTTCTATTATTTGTTAATTATGTATGATTTCTGAAATTGATAATCCAGGATGCTGTATATATGAAATGACAGCGCATAAGCCTGCATTCAAAGCATTTGTAAGTTTCTTTCTTGAAAGTTTATTTTATCGTATGTTTTTCTTTATGCAATATATTAAATACATTCATCTCTGCTATTGAATGAACAGATATAAGTATAGCATCGATAAGACAAATATTTGCCAAACAATTTTACTATCATCAAACTAACATGTTTGGACACTTATAGTGTTACGTGAACGGACCAGTAGACTAAAATCTTGTTAATTTACATGATCTTTGTATCCCAATTTGTTATGTTTTGGACTCATTGTTATTATGTTATTTTTCATATCTACATTTTTACAATATATCATCACAAGCACTTGCTTAGCTGTATAATACCTATATATATAATCGGATTCACTGTATATTTTACTGTTTTTGTTTCTTTCCTGTAATTTTTTTTTTAAATTACCTAATTATCTTTCAGTTTCTTTGAGCAGGATATACAGGCATTGATTAACAAGATTAATAAGTCAATAGTGGCTCCACTGCCTACAAAATATTCTAGTTCATTGTAAGCTTATAGTCTTCCGTCGTAAAGTTAATTAATCTTGCCATTTTCAAATTGCATTGTATTGTTACGCTGTAAACTTTGACACTTGAAAATCCTAAAGTTTTCCAAACTGAAGGTGTGGGTTAGCCTAAAGATAATTCGTAGTGGGTTTTTTGGTTAATTTATGTGATCGGTTATTAATATTATGGACTGTAAGATTGATGATGATCTAGTCATATTTGTCATTGCTTTTGGCAGTCGAGGTCTTGTTAAAAGTATGCTGCGGAAAAATCCAGAGCTTAGGCCCAGTGTATGTATTATTTCCCTCTGATCTAGAATAATGCATTTAACTTGGTGGCTACAACATCTAGCACATATTTTATCTCGTTTGTGATTGAATAAATACTGCAATTTGTGCTGTCATCTGAAGAAAAAACATGCAATTCAATCAACATTCCTCAAATTTGTTGGATTTGATATGTCATTTCCCATGTCATGTATTCTAATTTGCTTCATTAAACTGTGTTTTCTCCACTCTAAATGGATTGTCAGCATTGGATTAGCAGAAGGAATCACTTTTGGCTTGCCTGGTTGGAGATTAAGTGGGTTGATGATAAATTTACTTCAAATTTTGTTGTGATTTTCATGTTGGCCTTTCATTATTTTATACGAATGAATCCTATTTGGTATAGGATAAATATTCTTAGTACTACATTACATAAAAAAAGGCAAAGGAACATGATAGGCAAAGTATTATGAGTTGTGAAAGGTAATATTTTTAAAACTTAGGAAATTATACTAAACTTTGCTAACAAGTATTTCTACTATGTTATAATCAAATATGATTTGTTGGGGCATATTAATGATTCCTGCTTGACTGAAGATTTTAAAATTGAAAATTGATATTTGATTATCAATAAGTATGTGATACAATATGTTAGGTTGATCCATCAGTTAGGTTGATGATTGCATTTCCTTCTCATTATGATACAATATGCACATGTCCAATAAGTATGTGATAATTAGTATTACACCATTATGTTGAATTGAAACCCGTTTGTTTATTTTTTAAACAGGTAAAGAAAATTTTAAATTAAAAGCTAAAATAAATCAAGTTTCTACTTTTAGAAACCATGATTTAACTGATGACTGGTGCACTGCCACCTACGTGGCAGTAATTGTTCTTGTTAGTGTTGGGCAATGTTGTTTATTTTGCATAACGTCTTGTATGGCTTATTAGTCCTTTGTGTCCATATATCTCTTTGTCTGGCATCTGCTTCTATTCATCATCGATATTACGTTGTGAGAAGCTATCCTGCTATGTGCTTTTACCCATCTGAAATTCAAATCTGATCTATCACATGGACCTATTTCTTATTTGAGGTGTACTTTCTGGTGGTAGGCTACTGAGCTGCTTGGACATCCACATCTTCAACCTTATGTTCTTAAGGTCCATCTTAAAATGAATAGCCCCAGGCGAAGCACATTGCCAGTTCATTGGCCAGAATCCAACTACTTGAAGAAAACTAGATTTTTGGTGCCAGAAGATGACCCCGTTTCCGTTTATAGGGATAAGCGACATTCTTTTAGTAATGATCGGACTCTAAATCCTAGTGTATCTGGAGCTGATCAAGATTCTGTATGCTCGACTCTAGAAATAGATTGTACTCCTGACCATTTGAATCAAAGGTTAGCAGAACTACGAATTGGAGATAGCAATGAAGTGAAATCAATCCGGAAGCCTGCTGTTTCCAGAACTTCTAGCAATGTTAAGACTCCAAGGTTCCCTTCCTCAAAAGTCTCTGCCACCAACAAGAAATCAGTAAAATCCTCAAACAATCATACGGTGGTAAGGAAAGTTGTATATCCATTAAATTTTCACATGACTTGGCTGGCTTCTTTTTCTGTTGGGGGGGGGGTTGTAGGAATGTTGTTGGTCATCTGGTTCAGTTGAAAAAAATCAAGCATGTCACCTTTTTGCCTTTGTTAAGTGGGTTCCAATATTGGTATTTTTATAAAGAATGGGATGGTTGAATTACACTAACAAGTAGTCAAATGACAAAAACTTCCTCCTAGTTTGAAATATTGCAATCAACTCTTGTTTACTCATAGAAACCTCCCTTCGTCTATAGCTTTTATTATTTTCTTATTTTACTTTATAAAATCATTAGCTTGTATAGTTTTAGGTAACAAATTACTTTATAAAATCATTAGCTTGTATAAAATTAACATCACTTTATTGGGGAGATTCCTGTAATATGATAATATATATTAGCGGATTGTAATATTCAAGAGTAGGAGGGAGCATCTTTATGTTTGGTCAAGCCACTACGTAAGTAATCAAAACAATAAATTACATGGCTGACTTGCTAAAGTTTGATTTGCAGATACCTCTTTCTCACAATACCACAAAATCTGCTAATACTAATCGTAGGGCATCATTTCCATTGCCAACAAGGGGTGGTATTCGGCAGCCTCCTTGTGGGCCCAATGCCAGTTTGCTTAGTCACGTGTCTTCACCAGATATCTCAGTCAATTCTCCACGAATTGATAAGATGGCTGAATTCCCATTAACTTCATATGTAGATTCTTTGTTCCCCATCAATAGAACATCATCCTTTGCTCAAGGTTCCTCAGGCCTCCCATCCAGCGGCAACCATTCCACCGTGATAGACAAATGCACGGTGGAGGTACATGATAGAGCGTCAAACAGGCCTGATTGTACGGATTCTTGGCAGGGAATCAAGCAGAACGTGTTAAAGGAAATTGATGAGGATAAAAGTGGTTCCTCTGATCAAAATGCAACAGCAGGTGCTTCGAGCCACACCTCTTCTGACTTGCGCCGGCGACAATTTGACCCGTCCTCATTCCAACAAAGGGCTGAAGCTTTAGAAGGGTTGCTTGAATTTAGTGCAAGGTTGCTACAGCAGGCAAGGTATGATGAACTTGGCGTTCTGTTGAAACCATTTGGGCCTGGAAAGGTTTCCCCAAGGGAAACAGCTATCTGGTTGAGTAAGAGCTTCAAAGAGAATACTTTCAACCCAGAAGAATCCTTGTAAACTGCCATTATGTTTACCGTAGTCATTTTTAGAGTTCAGTGTTTTTTCTCACGAGAGAATTTAGCCAGATGATTTTTTAGCTTATCACATTTTTTTCGTTTACCCCCTTATCTGTTTCACTTCACTGAGTAATGATAACTCAAATTTTCGTACTACCCATGAAACAGATGATAGACATTTCATGATACTTAGCCTTGTTCCTTGCCAGGGAAGGTAGCGAAGGTTGGTGTCTCTAAACCCTTTCTATTCTTGTATTTGTTCGCTTATTTTTCTTTAGTTATGCGTCAGGTATACTTCGACAATTATCTTTGGTTCTAATCGCATCGAAACTTCTTTTTTATTTTGTGGTGGGGGTTAATTGGTAAACAACACCAAAAACATTTTACTGGTGCTATTTAACTAGTTTCCTTATGGTGGGTGCTCTGCATTTGTACTGCCTGTTAAGTGTAAATGCAAAGAAGCATTTAGTAGATAATCGAAGAATCATACTCCCTTTAATGAAAACAGAGAGTGATGATTAGTTTACTTCTGCTTTTCATTTTCAGCATCCGAGATTGAGACCGACATAGTTTGAATTCATTCATGGCCAAATTATGTGCTAGAGATGTTAAATTGCCACTATCTAGTGCAGGTACCAGAAGACGGGCAGCTATTTCTTAGATAAAATATTTTACTTGTTTAGCATACAAGCCTTCAACATCCCCACATTTTAGATGGATGAACATTGATTGCGGCTTTTTTTCTTTATTGTTATACTTGTCGTCCAGATGGACTTGGTTGAAATGAATGTTTTCGGACTATATTTGCTTGCGTCTGCCATTTGCCTGAATTTTATTGTTTCTGATTCGAACATGTGAGTATTGATATCAATTCATATGATAAAAGTTAGAAAATTGTAATGGTGGCCCCAAATATGATCTGCCTCGCAAGATGAAGGATGCACAGTTCTTCAATTTCTATTAATTTTTGTGAGAAATCAAATAGTATTTTAGGAAAGAATAAATAAGGAAAGAATAATTAGGAACAATCCTAGCATAAAATAGAGTTATTATATTTCCTAAAATAGTTTAGGTCTCTTGTATATATCTTGTATCATCTATTTGTATGGAAATAATAAAATAAATCATATTTCAGTTAATCTATTTTTCCAGATGGTATCAGAGCTTCCGATCTAGGAAGCTCTGTCTGCGCTCGATAAACCCTAAGATGGCAGCTTGCATTGCTGTTGCATATTTTGTTACCTTAAGACGGCAGTTTGCATTGTTGCTGCATTTTTCTTAACCCTAAGACGACAGCCTACATTGCTGCTGCATTTTTCTTAATCCTAAGACGATAGCCTGTATTGCTGTTGCATTTTTCATAATCCTAAGACTGGATTGTTGTTGCATCGCACCTTTTAGCTATAATGTCAAGGGAAGAGGAGATAGAAAGGGTGAAAACCATTCTTAGTAAGCTGGAAAAACCTACAGGTATGTGTTCTTTGGCATACTCGGGTAAGTTTCCACCTTCTTTTGGATTAAATGTCTCGGATACGCCTTTTAACCATTATTGGATATTGGACTCGGAGCCACAGATCACATGACACCATTAGCCAAACACTTCTCCACATATTCCCCATGTCCCAAGAACAAGAAAATTGCCACAGCGAGATGGAACCCTTATAACTCGCACTTGGTCAAGGAAATATCCAAATCAATCCTTTAATAACCTTAAAAGACGTTCTCCATGTCCCAAAGTTGTTCACGAACCTAGTGTCTATACAAAAACTTATAAAGGATTTGTCATGTAAAGTTGTTTTTTCCAATGATCATTGTGTATTTCAGGATAAGGATTCGGGGAGGATGATTGGACATGCTAGAGAATTGAATGGTCTTTATTATCTCGAAGATCCAAGTCTGCCTAGCAAGAATAGAATCTCTCACTCCTTCATATCTCGAATCCTTGATGACCAACAGAGAAAAAATCATGCTTTATCATTGTCGGTTGGGACATCCCTCTTTTGGAGTGATCAAAATTATATTTCCCTCTCTGTTTACCAAGTTAGATGTTGAGAGTCTTCATTGTGAGGTGTGTGAACTTGCTAAGCACAAACGTATATCTTTTCCAATAAGTAATAGAATTAGCAATTTCCCTTTTTATCTTGTTCATACTCGATGTATGGGGACCTTCTAATATTCCAAATGTGTCTGGTACTCGATGGTTTGTCACCTTTATAGATGACTCGTACAAGGGTCACTTGGGTTTTCCTACTTAAACAAAAATCGAAGTCGGCTTCTGTCTTCCTAAACTTCCACTCCATGATAAAAAATCGGTTTGGTATTAATATTAAGAGGCTTAGGTCGGATAATGCCAAAGATTACTTCAATCATGTCCTTAATTCTTTTTGTCAAAAAGAAGGTATAATTCATGAGTCCTCTTGTGTCAAAACACCACAACAGAATGGGATCGCAGAGAGGAAAAATGGACATCTATTAAATCAGACTCGGGCATTGTTGTTCCAAAAAAGTGTCCCAAAAAATTTCTGGGGGGAAGCTGTCCTTACAGCAACATACCTTATCAATAGACTACCCTCTAGAGTCTTAGGATCAAAAAGCCCTATGGAAGTTTTGTCATCTTTCTATCCAAACTTGTCTACTACAAATAATTTTAAACCAAGAGTTTTTGGGTGCATCTCATATGTCCATATTTATAGTACAGACAGGGGAAAACTTGATCCTAGAGCCTTAAAGTGTGTCTTTGTTGGTTACTCACCCACTCAAAAAGGGTATAAATGCTACCACCCCCCATCCAAAAAATTCTTTGTGTCTAGAGATGTTACTTTCAATGAACAAGAGGGCTATTTCCATCAACCTTATCTTCAAGGGGAGAGTTTCAGGGAAGATAAGGAAAGTAGTGATTTTGGTTTTCTCATTCTTCCAGACTTGACATTTGAACCTAAACGAAATCATATTGAAAGTAGTAATTCTGGTTTTCCCATTCTTCCAGACTTGATATTTGAACCTAAACAAGATCAAATTGAAGTTGTAACAAATGAAACAAGTCAAGGAATTGGTCAAACAAAGGAAGTTGGTCAAGAAAGTGAAATTAATTGTGAAGCTGATCAAGAAGATGTTGAAACTGGAAAATTTGGTAAGAAGCTGGTGTACTCAAGGAAGACTAAGGCCATTCCAGGATCAAGCCATGTTCAAGAATCCAACTCGACTCCACAAAAAGAGGTAACAATTTTTTCTCCAGCTGTGCAGGTTGAAATTGAAACCCAAAATGATCCTGACCTCCCAATTGCCATTAGAAAAGGAACAAGAAAATGCACCAAACAACCACTCTACCCTCTCTCAAATTATCTGTCCTTTAAAAATTTCTCTCATACCCATAAAACCTTCCTAGTAAACCTAAACACTGTACTTCTACCTAATACCCTATCTGAGACATTGTCTGACAGAAAATGGAGGCAAGCCATGGATGAAGAGATGGAGACATTGGAGAAAAACAACACTTGGGAGTTAGTCACCTTACCAATAGGAAAAAGGTCAGTTGGATGTAAATGGGTCTATACAATGAAATACAAGGTCGATGGATCAATTGAGAGATATAAGGCAAGACTAGTTGCCAAAGGGTTCACCCAAACCTATGGAGTTGATTATTTGGAGACCTTTGCTCTGGTTGCCAAAATGAACACAAGTTAGGGTGATATTGTCCCTTGCCGCCAATTATGGTTGGAACTTGGAACAATTTGATGTTAAGAATGCTTTCCTACATGGAGACCTTGAAGAAGAAATCTATATGGAGATACCTCCGGATATGGTAAAGATGTTGCTACCAACACTGTTTGCAAGTTGAAAAAGGCATTATATGGGTTAAAACAGATCCCCGTGCATGGTTTGGCAGTGTTTACTAAAGTTATGACAAGTCTGGGTTACAAACAAAGCCAAGGGGACCATACTTTGTTTTTTAAACATTCCAAGTCGGGGGAGTAACAATATTATTGGTATATGTGGATGACATAATATTAACTCGGAGATAATAAAGAAGAGCAACAATTATTGAGTCAATGCTTAGGCAAGGAATTTGAGATCAAGACTTTGGGAAAACTAAAATATTTTTTGGGAATTGAAGTTGCCCACTCCGAGAAAGGGATATTTATATCTCAGCAGAAATACATCACCGATTTGCTCAAGGAAACCGGCAAGGTAGCTTGCAAACCTGCTAGTACCCCGTTAGAACCAAACCTAAAGCTTGGAAATGCAGTAAGAAGATGTTGTCGTTGAAAAAGATATGTACCAAAGATTAGTGGGCGGACTTATATATTTGTCACATACCAGGCCGGATATTGCCTATGCAGTGAGTTTAATTAGTCAATTTATGCATAGCCCAAAGGAGACCCATTTACAAGCTGCCTACGTAATTTTACAAGTACCTTAAAGGAACTCCAACTCCAGGAAAAGGGATTCTATTCAAAAGGAATGGTAATGTGAAACTTGAAGCCTATACTCGATGCCGATTATGCAGGGTCAATTGTGGATAGGAGGTCAACTACAGGATATTGCACCTTTCTTGGAGGAAATCTTGTGACTTGGAGATGCAAAAGCAGGGTGTAGTGGCTCTGGTCCAATGGTCGAGCAGAATTCCGAGCCATGGCACAAGGTATATGTGAGTTGTTATGGCTTAAAATCATCTTAGAAGACTTGAGGATAAAGTGGGAAGAACCTATGAAGCTCTATTGTGATAATAAGTCAGCAATCGAGTATAGCCCACAACCCAGATCCAAGCATGATAGAACAAAGCATATTGAAGTAGACAGACACTTCATCAAAGAAAAGCTTGATAGTGGCTTGATATGCACTCCATATGTGTCCTCTCAAGACCAAATTGTAGACATTCTTACCAAGGGACTCGGCTGCCATAATTTTGAGAAGATTGTATCCAAGCTCGGGAATGGAAAACATCTATTCACCAGCTTGAGGGGGAGTGTGAGAAATCAAATAGTATTTTAGGAAAGAATA